TTTTATTTTATTTTAAAAAAAATGAAGCATAACATAACGCCTGCAGGGGTAACAAAGAGCAGTACCACATTTCCAAAAACATGCTTTTCCTGCTGTATTGGTCAGGTCGGCTCATATTGGACAGAAAAATCCTTTCTTTTTGAACAAAATGCCAGAGTTTGGAGGCCTCTGTGGCCGCAGATTGTGAAAGCTGGTGTTATGTCACGCTTAAAAACTGCCAGCATGTGCTATAGCCCAGAATTTTGAATCTGTCATTGCATTTTTATTAAACTCATCTTCCAAAGCACAAGTGATAGGAATTTTAAGATTAAAATTACATTTAAGGACAATAGTTTAAAAAGCAAAAAAAAAGAAAAGACGCAACCTTTAGCCATAATTGAATGTCAAGCAATAATATATGTTGGTGTATTATTTCTCATTCTTTTGTGCATCTGCATGTAAATACACCCTCTTATTTATCACAATTCTTTTTTTCTTTTCTTTTTTTTTTTTTTTTTTTTTTTGTGTCAATTTTTGTGTCATTTGTATATTTGACTGGTTCAGTTCCCAGGTGGAGAACGTAGAACTTGACATGGCCTGTATTACTGTATGTGTTCCTTTTCTCACTCTCTCCCTCGTTCTTGGCTGTTTTTATCGATCATATTTAATATTATTATTCTTATGGATCACATGTATAAAGGTAGCTTTGTAACTTCTGTCTGTATAGGTAAGAGGAAAATACTGCTACTAAGGCCTACCCAGTGAAAATATTTATCTGTTTATCGATTGCATCATATTGTACGATGAAGCTGTTTCTATTTTGCTTCCCTCCTTTAGGATTAGTTTGATAGAGATAGGGGTGTGCTGACATTTATTTTGTGTTGCCCTACCGTGTGGTGCTAGGTAAGTTAATTTTGTGAACCAAGTATTGATTCCTAAGCCTGGCCACCCTATTAGTTCAATAATTTTATTGCCTATTAATGTATTATTGATATTAGGACTCAACGAATTATAATGATGATAATAAAAATGATAGTGGTAAAAGAGAAAAAGAAGTACCCAGACAGTGCCTGTATCAGTGTGCTAACTCTGGGATTTTGCACTTATTTCCTTCTGGCTTATAGTAAACCTAGAATCTGCTCATTTTAAAAACTATTTAAGGTCGCTTTCCTGGATTTTTGTGGAGAAATCCTGATTTTCAATCTGAAACAGCAGTATTTTTTTTTCTTTCTCTTTCCCGATTGTTAGAAAAACCACTCACTGAGGCTGTAGCTCGTCAGGTCTTTAAGAAGTTAACTATTTTACCTCGTGTGTCTGCATCGTCCCTTACTTGACGTGGGATTGTGGTGCTCGGGTTTCTGTACGTTTCAATGGCCCTGAAAGGGTATTCAGACCAGTGACATATATTTTTATTATTATTATTATTATTATTACTGCCTCACATAAAGTGTTTAAAAAACTGACATGAAAGGATTTGCCAACTGATGACAAAGTCGACTTTTTTCCTCTTCTCTGTAGCAAAATCACTAAGGAAATGCTCGCAATAATAAGCAAAGTATCACACTGAGTGCCTCTCGGTGTAACGAAATGCATACATGGTTTTGATTGTCCTTTTTTATTTTCCAAACGTGTACTGATGTGGTAATGTATTTTTTACATAAGGAGAAATTCTCACCCTCACTTGCTTAAAATTGTTCTTTTTTTTCCTTCATGTGTTTTGACATGTTTTGGTGCATTATGCTGAAAGGGTTTTATGAGTAGTCGTCATCCCTCTCACCTTGATTTCAGAAGGTCCTGGAAGTTAGTTTTTATATTGATCTCAAATGGTCAATTAAAGCTTGCAGATAAGTTATTGCCCGAAATGATCACTTGCACTTTTTCCTTTTTTGATTTGTTTTTTTTTTTTTTTTTTGTAATAATTTGACATTTCTACATTTTCTGCTTGTGGTGTAATCTTTTTTTCATCACTGCAAACAGAAGATTTGCTAATACATTGTAAATTCTGTATTAGTGGGTGTTTGTAAAACAGGCGTACAGCACATCTGGTTCCTTTTAATGTTCTATGTTCATTGTGAGCTGAGTCGGTTTGGGTTAACTCTTCACATGAAGGTTGGGTGGAGCAGAGCTTGATGTTTCTTTTCCTTGCAAAGCAATTAAAAAAAAAAAAAAAACATTGAAAAGGCCCAAACTTGTTTGTGTTTGACACAGATTTCTAAGTCACACATTTGCTACTGATCTTAAATGGCGACGGCTGATCATGAACCTTTTTATCCAGCTCTTTTGAACTCTCTTTAGCAGGTAGTCTAATTCACAAATGTAGTTTTGCTCCTTCTTGTCTGATTCTTAAATATGAAAATAAGTATTTTGATTCATTTTGTAAATACATCTGTAAAGAAGAATAAGAAATTTAATGTTGTCTTTTAAATACTTTTCATTCTAATATGAATGTTGTTATATTGTACTTAGAAACTGTACCTTTAATATTACCTTTATTAAAAGTGCATTGGACACATCGATTTTAGATGTGCTTTATGTGCTGTTATCCCATAATAAAATTTACCGCTTGTAATAGCCTTTGTTTTTCTCTGATTGTTAGTCTGTCTCACTTTGCCTGCCCTTCGTTCTGCTCACATAAAAAATTTAATCAGTCTAAATATTTCTACCACCAGATAAAATACGAGAATTACTTTTCAGTCCTAGACACTTTTAGAATTTTTATGAATTCATTCATAAATCTCAATAAAAGTTTGGATATTGAAATGTTCATTTGAGAAACTCAGTTCAAAGAATACGACTTACAATAAATTCACACACAGAGTGAATCATTTCAAGAGTTTATTCCCATTTATGAAGTAATGCATACATGTACTGAAAGTTAAGTGGAAGGGAAAAATGCTCATTGCAAAATACACAGTTCAAAAGATCGTCTATTAATGCAAATTGAAATGAAAGGAAAATGTTTTCTGCCAAAAAGAGAAGAAAACACAGCTGTGTACTGCATTAAAAGTGAGGAGTGGCTCTATTTTGAAAGACTGTGGGAAAAGGCTACAGAACTGGCCGTTCAGATTGTCATATCCAATAATTTATATCCAATAATAAGGCAAATGGAAGAAAAAAAAATCTTTGCTGAAGACACTGGTTGTTTGACTACTTGGTGAAAAGTGAAATACAAGGGGAAAAAAATGAAACATGTTTAGACTGCTAGTGTGTTCATAAACTGTATTCACTGCTGTATCGATGCGTATTAATGGAAAAATAAGTGGAGAAAAAAGGGTGAAAAAAGAAGGTGAGCAAGAAATAAATGACTGAAATATATTGCTCTGTGCATCATAAGTCTATATAAATATCAATGTTACATTTTAAATTACTGAAATTAACTTTTCATTCATGTTAATTTAAATGTGTAACTGGTCATTTGCATCAGGTCAGATAATGACCTGATGCCTGATCCTGTCGGTGTTTCTAGCATCTTCTGGTACTGAGCAGAAATCTTTGGGCACCTAACAACTGCAAAGACCTCACTTACCATTTTCTTCACACAAGGCTGAACCATTGCAGTTGTAAGCTTGAAGCAAAAAATATTGTATTTTAATGAATGACTCAATTTCCCTGTAAGGAATATAAATTTTTTAGCACTTTTTACCATGTAATGCATTAGAGATCTTGATGAGGCTTAGTGAACAGCAGTATGATAAAGTTGTGGAATAATTTGCATAATATGAACTTCTTCCATATGTAGACTATTGATACTATCTCCTCTAGACTAGGTGTAAGAATGTCATCATCAATAACTTGGTACAAAAAAAGAGACTACTGGTGTGAAACTTTTGCTCCTGTGTCTTGTATTTCAGGCTGTTTGTAGCACAGGGGACATTCTGGAGAGAAAACTGACATTATTATGGTTAAGGATGCCAAATACTGGAGAGTAAATCATAATAGATTTTCACAGCATGTAGACTTGTCACATTCTGTGAAAGGTCTACAAATCATAATAGAGACTTTAATAAATCATTTCTAACTTTACCTAAATAGAATGAGAATTATTTTACACAATTTAGCAGAAAAATAACTACATCTGTTAGAGCGGATGAAAGAATTTAAAAATGTGTACTAATCTTGCTGCACAAGTGTGAAATAAACTTAATCCAATTCTGTTCACCTTCTGATTTTTGTATTACATCTTTTCGAGTTAACACCTACCATAAATTATAATGGATCTAATGAATCTTACATAAAGCTCAGCTATCCTGCTAAGAGTTTCCCTGACTTTTCTTTTGTTATATGATGAAAATTTAACATTTTCACAGGATTTCGTGCAATACTGAGAGCCGCTATAGGCTATATCTGTGCTTGAACATACATCCGGATTTTGCCAATGTATTAGAAACAGCTTCACTGACACTGGCTGTGTGCAAAAACAAGGAATTTTACTTTGATTTTAACTGCTTGTACATACATCAAGTATAAATAGATAAACATTAGATGAAATAATATAAAATATAGAATATGCACAGACATTTTATGCAAAGAGAAGAGAGAGAAAAGAAAGGTAGGTTGTAGTAGTGCAAGTTATTTATTTCACAAGAGAGTAGCTGACCACTCAGGGTGTAATGTGTTCATTGCATCTATTAGAGAGACAGCCAGCAGGAAGCAACTGTCATGCCATCATTAGATCCAGGTCTATTGAGATGGATGTACTGACACCTTTATACGATGGATTGGGATTATATTATATTATATTATATTATATTATATTATATTATATTATATTATATTATATTATATTATGTTATATTATATTATATATTATTATATTATATTATTATATTATATATATATATATTATATTATATTATATTATATTATATTATATTATATTATATTATATTATATTAAGCATGCAGCCAATTTGCAACCATAAATGGATATTACAGTGTATTGATGTTTACGTCCACTGGGGGCAGTAAAGCACACCAAGAACATCGATGCTACTATGTTTCTAACAGACAAAGAAGGTTGCTTGCAATGCAAACGTTTTTCGGGGATCGATGAAGTTTACGTGGAGAAATACCGACTTTCGTTAGCTTCTGCTTTGTTTTTCCTGACTATGGCAACAATGGAGCTGGTGTGGTGAGTAACGTAATGAGTCTGTACCGCTGGGGTTTTGAGACAGTCGGAGGAATTCATCTCCACGCTGAACTCATTCATTGAACTTTGTGCTTGTATGAAACCAAAGCAAACATACTGAGACTGAAAGAGGCAAAAGGAAAGTTATTAAGAACACACACATCATATGTTTGACAGGCAGTTGAACTAAGTTGGTCTAATGAACGAAACTTATCCTCTTCAGTGAAGAAATTAACTTGGATTCTAGATTAGCAATACAATTGTCATGAAAAGCTGATTTAAAAACAAAGCCAGTACACGTATCAATTTTAATGCTATAGTACATTAAAAAAAATAAACATTATTAGAGTATATATTTATCATACCCTAATTTATGCACTGGAGGTGGTTATTCTGTTGCTTGTAGCTCACAGTTTATGAATTGAAGGGTTTTTGTTACAGAAACGCTGTATTGTGGCCCACACAAACATGAGTAAGACTGTTATCCACCATGCAGTCAATGGCACAAATTCAGTGCAGCAATCCACAAGGTCATTTTCGAGTTATGATCCATGCTTCCCTGTGTTAACGAACTTTATGAAGAAGCGATTTCACTTTACACTTTTTTAGGACCTCGCTTCTGCACACACTGGTAAAAGAACAAAAGTTACGACTTTCATCCCTACTAATCGCTTCCGGCGATTAGTAGGAATGAAATAGAACTGACAATTAACATCCATCCATCCACGCATTTTCTGTTCACCCTTGTCCCCTAATGGAGTCGGGAGGTGCTGGTGCTTATCTCCAGCTACGTTCCAGGCAAGAGATGGGGTGCACACTGGACAGGTCTCCAGCCTGTCACAAGATAATTAACAGAAATACAATTAACAGGAATTCCTGTTAACAGGAATACATTATATTTCACTGTGTCATGAGTCTTTATTCACTGAGTTGATTTAATTTGACTTACTAAATGAATCAACTTTTGGCTTTATTCTAATTTATTAAAATGGACATGTATGTCGATTTAACTGAGTTGTAATTCATCTTATTCAGAAATATTCTTCCTTTGCACAAATTTGTAAATGTTTGTTTTCCAGCTAAAGTAATTTAGGGAGTTACTAATTACTTCATTGAAAGTTAGATAATGTTACTTTAATTTTCTTTTAATGACAGGGATGATGATGCGCCTCCTGACGGTTCATTCTTCACCAGAGATCTCTATGACAAACATTCACTTGCACCACATATCAGAGAACTTTGGGCCTTCCTTCAAAGGTTTGCTTGCAAAAACTTAATCGGTTCACTAATAAACAACTTCATGTGCACTTTTTACTGTTGTAAAGTTAACCAGCAAGTGTTTCATTCATCTTTTTTAACACAATTATTTCTAGTCCTGCAGAGAACACCGGCGTAAATCAAGAGTGTGAGGAGTCTGCGGAAGATTGCAGTGCTCCTTCCCGAAAAAGTGCTGCCAAGTTAAAAGGCAGCCAAGCGTCTGGCTGGGAGAGCTGTGACAGTGATGACAATGACTCAGAGGAGCCAAAAAAGAGGAAGAGAGAGAGAATGTCCTTCAAAAAGACTGAGAGGGAGATAGATGTTGCTTTTCCTGAACCCAGGGTGCCCTATCCCTGCTTGTCCAGCCTGTCTATCAAAGATCAGAAAACCTATGTTGGTTATTTGATGAACACAAAGAGCAGGAGTCTTCCGAAGGTACAAGCTTTCTCCATGAGCTGATATTAAAGGTAATTCAGACTTGTTTATTGTTTTGACATTCACATAATTTTTTTCTAAAATTTACTCTGTTTCAGAACTTGATATTGCGAATAAACAATGAAGTTGTACAGTTCACGAAGTACCTGCAGGATGTTGCTAAAATGTGTGCTGATGACTACAACTTCATAACACAAGGAGCTATGCAGTATACAGAGGTACTTGAATGTAAAGGCTTTTATGTACTAGAATCTGTTAGGGCTGGACAATATGGCTATAAAACGTATCAATATATAAGCATTCTATATCAGTTGACGGCAATAATTTTCAATATTCATAATTATTGATTACTTTTTGTTTTAAATATCTGGAATACTGCCAAACTTGTGGTATGACCTTTTCTGTTTTATTCAGTTTTCACTCCATGCTGTTTTTTATTTTTGAGAAATTATTAGGCATGGTGACAAAAACTGAAACTGTTGCTGCACAAGTTACTCAAGAGGTTGTTGCTAGGTAACCAAAGAGTGAGTTAGTTGATGCCACATACCTTGCTTAGCTTGCCATGAGAGGTTGAGCAGCTAAATATTTTCCTTTGCCTTCATCCCCCAGAATGCTGTGCACTTCTGGATCAGAGTTCAGTGAATATTGTATATATTGGATATTGAATATTCCATCAATATACATATATTATAAGTATTATATATTGATATTGACCAGGTATCTATTACAATATATACTGATTTATTGTTGAGCCTTGGAATCTATACTGTGTGGAAAAGTGCACAAAGAAACTCTCAATGTTTTTCAGGAGTTTTTTACAGCGTGTTTAGAGTCTGTGAAGGCACTTCCTCAGTTTTACCAGATTGATGAAGTGACCAGTTTGACAGGAGGAACGTTTAATCCAGGACTGGCTCTGACATTTGAGAAGCAGCTGCTGACAATGGTAATATATTCTTGAACTAATCTCAGAAATATTAGCTTGTATCATTATCTTCTTTTATTATACAACGTTCTCACTTCAAGTTTTGAACTGCAGAATCAGCCTTGTGTTGATTAACTTTGTCTCTTTCCACATTTGCACCCATTATGTCTCCAGGGCACTGTGAACATCACCGACCACAAGATGGTGCCTGCTGATGCACAGCTTGCATCCGATTATCACAGTGTTTCATCAGCGACTCCTCCAGCTAAGAAAGCCAAGGACAAGCATGCTGTAAGCAATTGTCTCACTTATTTTAATTGCTGCATTAGAACAAGCAGAGATGTTTCACTGCTGGAACTGAATTCCTGATTGCGTGTCTGTTAACTGCTTTTACTCTCCTGCACTCTTCAAAACAGACACCAGAGGGTGCTGATGTCATACTTTGTCTAAAACGTGTTTCCGAAAGAAACGTCTTGAGTTGCACAGAGCCCATGTTGTTATTAAACACCAACATTTAAATTAGTTTGAATACTTTGATAATTTGCTCTTTCTTTACCCCACAGAGGATCAGCAGTGACGGAAATACAGAAAAACTGTGTGCTTATTATGAACCTCATGTCTGTCTGACACGAGATGCCTTGGTAAGGCTGCTGGACAACCACGGCCCAGACTTTGGGGACCAATGGGAACTGCCTGTTTTGGTGAAAATAACACCAGGAGAAGGTGTGTTCAATGTTTCAGATGCAATTTATACGCTTACTGCAAAATACCCTCTTATTTTACCCCATTTAACATGATTGTTACAGTATAGCATAGTCTAAATAACACCTCTAAAGATGAATTTTGAATATGACTGATGTTAAGGGAATCTTGGATTCATATAAAGAATGAAAGGTGTGGGGAAAATACGTTATTCATCAGGAGCTTTTTGTGCTTCCTCTAATTGCCTTGCTAACGAAACACTTAAAGTATTTAAGTGTTTTTGATTTTGTAGATGTTAATTTAAAAGGCTTTAAGAGTGCAAAAGAGAGCTCTTACAGCACTTATTCCTCATAGAAAAAGGCACCATTTAGTCCTGTAAGTCCTAAATGGCTTACATGACTTCTTAGGACTTTTTAAAATGTTCTATTTGCTGCCCTTTACAGATTTGTTAATTGCATAGCTTGTAACTATCCTATCAAAATGTTATTCCACTTGAGCTCTGGATTTCTGCAGCTCCTGCAGAGTTACTGTCAGGTTCTTGGCCTCCCTCTAGTGATAGAATGTTCTTAAATTAAAGTGTGCATTTTTAAAGAATGGTTAGGCTTGAATTTATTTTAAAGGTTTCAACAAATTTCCAAAAGGTGTGTGCTGTAAATAACTTCTTTCACACATACTGTGCATACAACTGCATTGCTGTTCAGTGACCTCATATTAATAGTGATACAGATATAACATATTTTGTTCCACGAAGTTCATGTCAAGATGGGTGTGCTAAAATAATCTTTTACAGTTTTGAGTAAAACTGGACCAGAAATATTAGAAAAGGAAAAGTTAGAAACAAAACGGTTAAAGAGGTTAGCACAAAAAAGACAAATGTTAATTTTACCAAGCAAAAGCTGACACATTAGCACCATTAAAAGGCTAGATAAAGCAAATAAATGTTTCTTTCAGTGCAATTCTTGAATGTACTTAAAATATAAAGGTCAGGAGGCCTTTGAATTCTAACCCAAAGATGTGTGGAAAAAGACATGTCTGCCTTACCAAATTTTGTTTATTTGATTAATGTTTATCTCTGAACACTTTTTCCAGGAAGCAGTAAAAGGAAGACTGTGTACATAGACTCACCTCTACTGAAGCGTGAAGTGACAATAAGAGAGAGGAGTCACATCTTTTATGAAGAAAGTCTGAAGCTCTCCATCACGACAAATGGAAGTAAAAAAGTCTTCCATCTAATGACCGAGCGGCCCGCACTTGAGCAGCAGCACTCACAGGTAAGCCAATGAAAAATTAGGCAGGATCCAGGATATAGTATAAAATATGTGATCTTTTCTTTAATTATACTTTTCTTATCATTAGGAGGCCTCCGTGAGAGGTTGTGTGTCTGTGGAAAACAAAGGCCTTGACTTTGAGGTGGACCTTACTGACCTGGAGACTTTTGGAGAAACTACGACTAAAACGCCACAGATAAAGAAATCACAGAGTCTGCAGGATGAAGACGTTCAAAGTAGTGGATCTTCAAGAACCCCAGTTGTGACCAAGCAAAAAAATTCCAATAAAACACTCAAAGTTAGCAGCTTTTCAACGGGAGGAATTAACTGTGCTTCTAAAAACAAAAAAAATACCAGAACAGAAACAAGTCAGCTAAAAGTGAGTGAGCCTGACTTACAAAAGACTGAATCGTCCGGCTCTGACCAAAAATGTGATAAAGACGAAGGCTTTATGGCAGATTCAGATGATGAAAAGCTGATCATTGATGAGAAGCGGATCATTAATGAGACCGGTTCTTCAGTAGCATTGCCCACAAATCAGTCAGAACCCTTGACTACAACATGCTCTGCAGACTCTTCAGTTACATCTTCCGATCAGTCCATCCCTGCAAATACAGTCTCCTCTCCGCCTTGTAAGCGTACAAGGTCTAAACGAACTGCCAGACAAACAAATGCACCTGAGGATCAACTAGGGGAGATCCTGCGCATGCAAACAGCCATGTTCAAGTCCGGCAGTGAACCAGCTCCTGCCGTTAAGTCCCCAAGCCGCTGTGTTGGGCCCCAGCTCAACCCTCATACAACTTCCCTGGTTAAGCCGTGTGTGTCGTCATACTTAGAAAGACACCAGAATGAGGATGCCGAGAGCCGTGTTGTTCTTCCTGAATCTGCACTTGTTAACATCAGTCCTACAGAGCGCAAAAGTTAGTGTCAGTTTGTTTTGGTTTTGGTTGGTTTAAGCAGTGTTTGTAGAACTTTAATAATGTGCAACTTTTTGTTGACTCCACTCAGAAATACTTTCAGAAAACCTTCAGGCTTGTGCAGAAGATGAACAAGACTATGAAGCTCCACTGGAGGGGAATCTGCTTTACAAGCTTTACAGTCTGCAAGACCTCCTGGTAATGGTGCGCAGCTCTGTGTCTCTGACCCATACAAGAAAAGTAGGCAACAACCAGAACCAGGTGGGTTTATAATAACAAAGCTTTAGATTTTGTTTCCAAAGTTTTTTTGTTTTTTGTTTTACTTTTTCTCATTTTACAAGCATAAACTGCTTTTTTAGCAGTATTTTATTTCATAGACTACACAACACAGTATATAAATGAAGTAGAAGCAAAATATGCATGAATATTTTTAAGTTATCACATGATATGGCAAGCTCTGTTTCCCTGCTCTCATACTTTTGAGATATGTCTCTAAAGCTTTGGACTTTTTGAGCTGAAAGTTTATCCTAATGATCTTTGTGTAATATGTGAAGCTCCTAAATCATGTAGTAAATATGATTGGGCCCAAATCATTCCATTGTAGTTCTTATTGCATATTTTGGAATATCTCTTACTCTCAAGTATTTTGTAGCCTGTGACAGGGTTTCTGTCATTATGCCTTGTATTTTATTCCCTGGACTTTAACTTTCTTCTCCCCACGACATAACACTGCCACCGTCAGACTTCACTTTGAGGACTGTGTTTTCTGAATGTTTGTTAGTTTTTTGTCACAGCTTTTTGCATGGAGACCAGAAAGATAAATTGGTCTCTGTCATCCTACTTGGCCCCTCTTCACAAAATGCATTGAATGTATGAAGACTGTTTTTTTTTTGTTTTTGTTTTGTTGCTGTTTAGTTTTTTCTTGTTTTTTTGTTTTTGTTTGTTTTCTTTTTATAAATATTTGATTTCATGTTAAATATTATATATGCTATAAACTTAATCTGACAGGAATTGTAAATGGAAATTACAAGTTAGAGTTACATTTGTAACATAAACAGGAATCTTTTTTTTCATTTCTGCCATACGCCTACAGATACAAACTTATGGTAGCAGCTCCTTACCATTTTATGTGTTCTCTCCTAACAGCATGTGCCAGTTTATGTTTTACCCAAATTGGAGTACCAGCTTTCTTACGGTGTTGAATGTCTAACGAACAGCGAGGCATGCCAGCTGTGGACGGAGACGTCGCTTCACTCCAGCACAGTGCCTTACATTGGTAAAAACACTCAAACCAAGATAGGGGATCGTCCTATTATGATGGGGAAAAAAATAGTACTTATATTCTTCAAAATAAGTGTTGGAAATATTGCTCAAGTAATGTTTGAAAATGTTTTCTCTCCTCTGCTGTGTCCATTGGTAACCATGAGACAAATCCTCCCACAAACCAGCAGTCATTTGATGACTCACTCTGCTGCTGCGGTTGTGTAGTTGTGAAGTTTACTCTGTTGCCATAGCTATGACCATATCTTCAATTACAAAGGGTGGAATTTGCAAACCTAAGCTGAATGTTGTTTTGGGGTTTAGGTACAGTATTAATGCATATTTTCAGCCAGCATCCTGCTTACCTGTAGCTTAAAAGGAAGGGAACCACTCCTTCCATTCTTCCTCACTTCTCGTGACTTATTCAGGCTTGGTCTGGTATGCTACCTGTCTAGCAGATAGAACGAGTTTCTCTTCTGAAGGAAAAGAAAGTATTAGTTTTTAAGAATTACTTCCCCTACTATATTGTATATAAAATAGTCAGCGACAAAACTAAAACTGTGGTAACATTTCAGCTAAGTGGAATATCAGAAAGCATCTCCTTGGTAATAAGGTTGTGCAACACAATCGGCTAAGGAAACACTTCCTTCTTTGATTAGCGGGTTCTAGTTTATCATGTGGCAGGTCTTGTGGCATTCCCCATCTGTGCATGTATGCCTCTGGTTGGAGACTCTATAAACACCCCATAACTGAAGAATTTGTGGAAAGAAGCACTACTTACCAGTTGCAGTCAGCTATGGAAAAAAGGGGATGGAGAAATTATATGCCATCATTGTAACCATTTCATTCTCTCTCTTTGGCCCCGCAGCTCACATCAATGCACACACATCTAAAGTTGCTCTGTTGAGGAAGTTGCCTGACGACTGGATCCAGAACATCTCCTGTGGGTTCAAGTGAGTGTTCTTACAACAGATGTGTGCTCATGATTAGATTAACCTAATCCACTGAAAATGATTACATTACTTATAACCTGCAGGTGGAGATTTTGAAACTCACTTACTTACAGGGCTCTCCTCTTGGGTGGGAGGACGGGAGGAGTTGTACCTGTGATTGTCCTGGGGCCGCCATACTCTGGGGGGCCTGTGGATGTCTGGGATTTGATCTCTTCTGTGTTTGCCCTACTATTGAACATTCATATAGTGAAACCTTCCATAGAGTCCATACCTTTTCACTTAATTATGCTCATGTGCATTTTGACTGGCAGAGGGTACTCAAAACCAGGACTCTGAGAAACAGTGAAAAGGCAAAAAAGTTTGTCTTTCTAACGTCACAAAATCAAGCAATCATTGTGGATACTTTTATAAATCTCTGTATAAACTGTGAAATGATTCATAGAAGTTGTAATCCTACTGGATTATGATGAAGGGAGCTGCAGTTTGTCTTTTGCCTCTGTAAAAAACCGAGTTTTCTCATCTGTACTTGCTACTTGAAAACACTGTGACCCAAAAAAACAGTAATGGTGTTTTGATGGTGGAACATATAGAACAAGGAATGCCTTGTGATGATAAAATTGCTGCTGGTCTTCTGGACGCTGTCTTAGTTTGAGCTGTTACAACCTAATTTAGTTCTCGCTATACTTTTAGACTCTAAACTACAATCAGTAGCATTAGTCTTGCATTACACAAGTACATTATTGCTCTCTTAGAGTACAGTTTAAGGTGTTTCTAAATAAGAATTTGTCAGAAAATGCTAAAGGCAGTAGTGTGTGGGATGTGCTTCTGTTTCTCTGTTGCTACATTGATGTTGATTGTGACACTGCTGTGTTGAGTAATTAGGCTGGAGAGCACTGACCTGCAGCTTTTGGTGGAATCACAGTTAGCATCACATGCAGCTGTCATGCTCTGAGTTTGTCATCCCAGTGTTGAAATTAGTATCTAAGCATAAATTATGCAGAGGAAAGAAATGGTAATTTCTTTTCTGCTCACAGGCCTTCCAAGTCTCTGAATATTCTGCATCACCTACTGAAAAAGCTATCTGGGTAAGTTGTTTCCCTCACCTTGGTTTTAATTGTAGGTTAGTAGCAAATTTTAATGAAATGTTTAAACTTGTAGCACTATTCTTAGTTGCAAATTAAAATGACTGCACATATAACACCGAGCAAAAAGTTTAAGCAACTTCTCAAGATAAACTTTGAAATGCCTTTTGAAAACTTGCATCACTGTTGCTCACGATCACCTTTAAACCCAAGAAGCCTTGGCCCCTTAGAAGCAAACAGCAAAGAAATTAGTCTTTATTCATGACTTTTTCACAATACTGGTTCTCTGTTCAAATTGCTGAAATATTCCCACATTTAGCCTTTCAGCCTCAGGTAGAACTTATGACATTATTCTTAGCCCTTCTTTTATTTGTTTCAGAATGAGTTGCTCAACCCGCTGCTTTCTTTTGGCGCCGTACATTCCCATCATCACTCAGCCAAGAAACAAAACAAAAAATAAGAAATCAGTGCAAGGTTACGACATGTTTTCTTTGTGAAAGCCCTGGCTAAACTACACTGATCTCTGTTTGTTTGTCAGGTTGGACGAAGGTCAATACTTGATTGTGCACAAAACTGGAGAGGCGTTTGTCACTCTGCTGAAAGCAGGAGGTGAAAAAGTGAGTCGAGGAGCTTACAACCTGCAGCAGAACCACAGCTCTGTTCCTCAGCCACCAGAGTTGGGTATTGTGCCTTGGATACCTGTTGATCAGGCTGTGGTCCTTCCTTTCCACCAGCAACACGGCCGAGTTCCCTGTACATTTCCTCCAAATACCTTTCAAACGGTGAGTGATGAGTGAAATTCCCACAAAAAATAACAATGTTGGAGAAAAATTCTCTTCATTGGGATTTTATAGGATAGCTTGACATAATGCATAAATAGGAGGGGAATTTATTATTAGTTTCACAAATAAAAATAAGATAATGTGTCAGTGAACAGACTATATGATTTAATCTCAGTATAAATGGAGTTGTTCAGTACAGACCTCAGAGGTTTGACAGAGAACTTCAATGATATTGTAAAGACCAAGGCACATGTCATGGATAAAGCAATGCCGGGTCAGAATACAATACTGTCTTAGAACATCTTAAAGAACATCTCGTATAACATCCAACCGAGAACATATAGTGAGACTTTAAAATTGATGGTCACAGACCTCTATTAGATGCTTAATTGTACAGAAAAATCACAGTTCAATATGTTTGGTTTTTTATTTGTGAAAAAAAAACTAATTGGAGAACCATGTATTGGTTTCCCTTAACATTAAAGTTATGCTCTTCTTATGTTGCTCTATTGCAGAAAGTCACAGTTGAATGCATAAAGGTTTTTACAGGTGTAATGTTTTGAAACATCAACATAATAAAGGGCTATAAATACTTTTGTATGTTGTTGCTTTTGGACAAATGCCAAAAAAAGACCAAACTTGTTGACAATTCTTTCAACTCAGAGAGCACACTTGATAAGTCAGTTCAGGAATCTCGAGAAACACAAAAAGTAGAATCCTTTTTCTTTCTGGTAGTTTGAAAAAGGTTCTTAACTTATTTTATCAGACAGGTTAAGCCACAACTGCCAGGTGGGCTTGTTAGGCAAAGAGAATACTTTTATCCTAGCAATGGTTATTATTTCAGACAACAGACATTTTATTTATTTTTAATTTTTAGAATTCATATGTTAAAACTGTTTATTACATTCTATTTTCCATCTCTTTCAGGTAGCAAAAGATGGAAATTACAACCTCAGAGGTGGGCAGAAGAACAACCCAAATGTCCAGAAGAACAAACAAACAAAACGTGCAGCCAGACGTAAAAAATACATTAAAAAGCTTGTCGAAAAGTCTCTTTAAAAGCCAAATCCTTCCATTTCATGCTCATGTCAGACTGGACTTGTGTTACTATTTTAGACTTTTAACAATGATGGCAATACCAGAAGACCTTCATTGTATTTTAAATAAATCTATTACATTTGTTGACATGTTTTATGTACTTTGTTTAAAACTAATGTTTTGTAAAACCAGAATCAGAATAAACACAAATGTTCATGCTGCACGATGTCAAGGATCATTTGCTGTCTAATGCGGATGCCGGCAGCGTGTGGGTTATCCAAATTAAAGAGAACATGTCCTAAATGGGCAGACCTGAGCACACTGTTAATGTTGGAAAGTTGCAGAGCTTGAAGGCCTGACTTGTTCTAACAGAGGAACAGGGTGGAGTCATGAGGTCATGGTATAGGGAGGGGATTGAAGCAGTCTTTGCCACAAAAGTTCAGCCTTCACGCTCCATTTTGCCTAAACTTTCCAGGGACAAGTCTCTGCAACATCTCATCTACAGCAAAGGTAATTCTGCAACAACATTGCTTTTTATTGTTGAATAACCTCACATGTTTAATCTAACTTTAAACAGCTGAAAGCTTAAGAGGTTTTCCAACTTCCGAAGAGACTTGGAAGGACATGATTTTCCACATAACTTCCACTTGGTGGGCATGAGTCTCATGATGTTGATTTGCTCTGTTCGGATTCAGTTCCAGAAGTAGCTTTTTTTTTTGTGTGTGTGTGTGAGAAGTATCACTAATAATCCCCAAGTTATGTTCAGAAGCATTGTTTTCAGGGTGTGGTCACTTTGGAGCTGTAACGTGTGTAAGTGTAACGTGGTGGAGCAGCAGAGACTTTAATAGCCACCAACCACACTGTTAGTAGAAAATATTCCATATGTGATCCAGGTGCAAAGTTGAAGAAAATAAGATTTAATTTTTAACAAACAGATTCAGTGTCATTGTGTGTCTGTTGAGAAGGCATTTCTTTTAGCTTAGCTCAGATAATGTTATCTTCAGTCTAAGTAAACATGCTGACTTGTTTTGTAAAGCCGAACAAGTCAGTGAGAGGATAAGAAAGAAATTTCAGCTCCAGCTTTTGTCTCTTTTTCAGAAAACTCAACATGGCTTTGGTTTCAGAGTTTCTGGGACAGCTATCTCTCAATGTTGCGGTAATGTCAAACTTTTGCCTTGACAATTAAAATTTGATGTACTTTCACACATATCAGATTCTTTGTTTTCAGGCAGTTGCATTATTTAGAAATTGATTTGCTTTGTGTTGCAGCATGAACCTCTGTACCCCACCGTGGTACCCGCTCGGGACTTTGACCCAGACAGAGATGCTGCCAGAATAGAGACTGCAATCAAAACCAAAGGTAGGATGCGGCTCTTTGTGTGACTGTCTGATGGTTTTATCTCTCTTATAGATGAGTGGTCTGTATTTGAGTCAGCTTCAGTGTGGCCACATTGGAAACTCCTCCTCATCTGTGCCTCATAGTTGGCATGGCTTCCTCTGTCTACTGAGTCAGAGTTATCTTTAACAGCCTGTCTGTTCTATTACAATATTATACATGTAAGAGAGAAAATTACCAATTGTCAAAAGGGTTGTTTAAAAAAATCCAGATCACATTAACTCATTCAAAGTTAATTAAGTTTAAAATTGATGGTTCATAGATTATAGAGGATAAATCAGAATACTGAATGACATGGCTGTTTGCCATCCATAACAAATCTCTGTAAATTTCCAAATTGCCTACCAGTTCTAAAGCAGTTCAAGTCTATTTTGTTGCCCTACAACTGAGATCAGTGAATTCTGATGGAATGGAAAACTTTAAAATTCAACTAGAAATTTGGACATTTATGAAGTTTTTATTTTTAGATTATTTATTTCTTTTAGAAATAGAATGCAGACCTAAATTTGTGATTTGTATTTCATTGCGTCTATCATGCATATATTTAGAAAATATTCTATTTCTTTTTCTCAGGAGTGGATGAGCAGACCATCATCGATGTTCTAACAAAAAGATCTTACTCTCAAAGGAGAGAAATTGCTTTTGCTTATGAAAAAAGAGCTAAAAAGGTACAGTAGGTTCAGACACAAAACCAAAGCTTATGTAAAAGCCCTTGCATTTCCTTTTTGTGACCCTATGGGACACATTGGGATTAAAGTGCCGGTGTCATTTTGTTTCCAGGACATGATCACAGCTCTGAAAGCAGCATTGTCTGGCAGTCTGGAAACTGTCATCCTTGGACTGATGAAGAGCACATCCCAGTATGACGCCTCAGAGATCAGAGGATCCATCAAGGTAAACGGCCTGAATTCGAATATTGAAGGTCTCCACTGCCCTCTAGTGTTAAAATGCCATCATATGTTTTGCTTTTCTGTAGAAGGGTTAAAGTGTGGAGATGGATATCCCACCAACCCTCAACTGTGCCTCCACTTTTAAACTGGGTTTTGTTTAGAAAAGGAGATCATGTTCAAATAAAACTATGACTTTCACCTTCTCACAATCATATTTTCTATTGGGAAGTTGGTGAATGCATCATATTTTAATAAATGCACAAATAATTAAAATTGCCAACATGACTTTATCAAGCCCAGGTGGTTAATGTGAGAATTTCTGTCTGTGTTTTAGGGTTTAGGAACAGATGAGGAAACGCTGATTGAGATCTTGTGCTCACGCAGCAATGATGAGTTGGTTGAAATCAAGAAAGTCTACAGTGACTGTGAGTTCAAAATATCCCTGCTTTTCTAGAAAACAACTGTTGTGAAGTGCTTTGGAAATGTAGATCTCAGACATGGATATTAATGCCAAAAATAATTCTAATTTTATTTTCTAGTATTCAAGAAAGATTTGGCAAAAGATGTGGCAGGAGATACCTCTGGAAACTTTGCTAAGCTGCTTTTGGCTCTGGTGGATGTGAGTGAAAAGTACATATTTTTGTCATTTGGGACGTAATTCAAGTGGAACTAATAAAAGTCTTGTTTTTTTTTCCCATTTCTTCACAGACGAAGAGAGATGAACCCAGTGCTATTGTAGACTATGAAAAGATAGATACAGATGCCAGAGTAAGTTTTCAATTGGTATTATGTGTTAGTTTTGAGGTCTGGAGATACATTAAATAATTTTACCTTATTCTTTTTTAGAATAGAACAAGAGTTATCACTTTGAGTAAACTTTAAAATGCTAATTGTGCATGTCCTTTTCTAGAAAAAATTGCTACAAAAAAATTGAGATTCGTACTGGTACATCATTGACTTAATGGTTTCATGGACTATATCATATAGTTTACACAGAGACATGGTAGACATCAATTGTTTACAATTTAATTATGTGAGATTTGAGCATTTTTATAAATATTGTAAAAACTCATGAATAACATTCAAGTAAAATAAACATATGTGCTATGATTTAAGTACTTTCACTATATAGATGACAAATAGGAGTAAGATACAAAGTACTTTAGGCATCTAGGTATAAAACACCTGCAGAAACTCAGTCATTTTGAATAAAATTAACTGATTGTTCATTTAATTCTGATTATGCTATCATTTATTCCATTCTCGTGTGACTATATTTGAATATATTTGACTGTATTTAAATTTTGCTTTTGATCACAATACTATAAGTCTACTGCAGCGATGCAGTTCCCCGAGAGACTAGTGCGACAAATCAGTGTGTCCCCAAAAACAATACAGTAAGTTGCAAGCAATGTAATGAAGAGGTTTTCCATAATCAGGCTCTGTATGATGCTGGAGTGAAAATAAAAGGAACCGATGTCAACACCTGGATCTCCATTATGTCTCAGAGGAGTGTCCCTCACCTGCGCAAAGGTAACCACTTACCTGATTTCTGGTTCTCTGAAGTAGATTGGGTTCTTTGAAGTCAAACATATGTAAGCATTTATTTTTTTTCTCTTTCAGTATTTGACAAGTACAAGAGTTACAGCCCTTATGACATGCAAGAGAGTATTGTGAAGGAAGTTAAAGGAGATTTGCAGAAGTCATTTCTTGTGCTAGGTACTGTTAATCTATTCTTTCATAATCCTCTTGATTGGATTATGAGTTTGTCAAAGTCATTAAAATATCACAAAAGAAAATAAGTTGTTGTTTGTACTGTGGATTTAATCTGTTTATGTTGCTTTTCCAGTTCAATGCTTTGAAAACAAGCAGCTTTATTTTGCTAAAAAGCTGAATGAAGCCATGAAGGTATGTGCAATGTTTTTTTTTTCTTTTCCTTTCCTTCTTGGTACAAAAGGACTTCTTTCTACTTCTAACATTTTTATTTATTTTTTTATTTACTTTGTTACTGTCAGAACTTTCTGCAGAAAGACAAAAAAGTTGGCAAAATTTGTTGCACCAGTCTTACATCAGCTACTGTATTTTAAGTCAAAAGTATGGACAAGTTTAATGCTGACTTGTTCTCCTCTGCTTAGGGGAAAGGAGCCAAAGAGAAGATTGTGACCAGGATTATTGTGTCCCGCTGTGAGGTGGACCTGAAAAAGATTTGTTCTGAATACAAGGACACCTTCGGGCAGTCCCTGCAGCAGACTATCACTGTAAGCAACCTCTTACTGATTAACTGTAAAGCATTTTCTATCACTCTGCCGTTCCTTTATCGTTCTTTTTCCCTCTCTACAGGAACATACCAAAGGAGACTACCAGAAGGCAATGCTCAGCCTCTGTGGACCAGACCAGTGATAGTTTTTTGACATCCAAAGGGTTTTCCAATCTCTTTTTACTGGAAATATGGCCAGACAGCTGCACATTACAGCATAAACATAGAAGTACGGCAGTAAAGAAGGAAAATAAAATGTAGAACTTAAAAATGTGCTATTTATGATTATTGCACCAGATCATTAATAAATTTTCTTTTCTGGACTGCTGACTCTGTTTTTTTTTTCATTCTAACATGCTGTTGTCATATTTTACCATCAGAGGGCGGTAAAGTTGCACAAAATAAATATTCCTCTGTCAAGTCTCCACTTCCTATTGGAATATCTGCAGAAGAAATGCAGATATTTAGAGGCTGGCATGAAATATTTGACCATAAATTGCATGTTTGTTTTTATTCCCGGCATCCGTTTTAATTATATAATATAATTTAAGTTAAAGCTGATTTAAACTATTAACTTTTCATCGGAGGAGCTAAAGATGACTAAATTTAAACTACAAGTTTAATGTTTTTAGACCATCGGCTGCAACGTAAACCATAAATAAAAAAATCTGGTTTGAGAGATAAACAGTGATCGAGTATCACCCTCCAAACTTGAAGAGGATGATTTAATCATTAGTGTGTTTTTCCGTGTTTGTTTGGTGCTAATATTTTAATTGAAAATGTTAATTTTACCTCTGGCAAGGATAATTTGCATAGCACTAAACAAGCCTCTATACAACATGTTTCTGCTGTTTAGTTTGTGGTCTCTCAGGATGAGAAAAAAAACACCGTGTTGTCAAGGCATTTCTACTGAAGTATAAGGGCAAAAATATAGCCCCGAAAGGGAAAACAGGAATCGCTGAACACAGAGATGAGGAAAAGATAGGAAGGAAAGTGCAATAATTTTGTGAAACTGGTGAGCTGCAGCTCCATTTGGTGTTACTGTGGGAGAAACAGCCTGATAAGAAATGGTTCTGTCCAATATTTTCAATGATTGACTAGCTAAAGGGGGAAATGGCTTCAAGTTTTAACAAGACATTGGATTTATGATCATTTTGTAATAATATTGATGAGAACATTAGCCCTTTGTGATGGTTTGTGTTTATAGGCAATAAAAAATAAAATATAGCACAAAGTGAGATAAAACAGTATTTTGTGAAGCCTGGATGGAGATTTATGCGGGAGCATGTTGACAGATTAATCTTTGCATCATAAAGAGAAAAGTACCTCCATATTTTTCCCCCCTTTTTTTTTTTTTTTTTTTTTTTATATGGATGTACAACATGCTGTTCTGCTCAAGGCCAGCCCACAGGGACCTCCAGCAAACCCAAGAGGGAACTCTCTTCTCAATTGAAACGATGCAATTTACCGTCCCAAACACGGGCACTTCATCATTCAGAGGACTTTAACCCCATGAATGTCAAACACAGAGCATGCTGGGAAGGAGATAGACTACCACACATTACCATAACTGCTTCTACCTCATGCTAAACACTGGGGGAAAAAACAGAAAATTAAACCATATATACTTGATTTTTTTCTTTTTCTTTTTGAAGAGGGGCACTAATTTACAATCGCTTTTGAAAGTTTTCATACACTTGAAATTCCAACCTCAATCTTATATTGGCATTTTTATTTGGTAGGTCAACACAGCAGAATATGTAAGTGTGAAATGGGAGGAAGAGGATTCTTAGTTTTATGCAAATTTGAATGGAAATATGAAAGTTTAGGATGATTGACCTCGATCTGAAGCTGCAAGTCATTGGGTTCTATTTCTTATAAGATTTACTTATAAATTCAACATTTTTGCCCATTCTTTGTAAAAAAGCTCAATCAGATTGAATGAAGCATGTCTAAAAACCTGATTAACGACATATCTGAACAACTTGATGAGCGCTCTGATTGGACGCTTATTGTCGTTGTCCAGTAAGGGCAAGCTTAAGCCTGTGACAGGTTTTCTAACAAGACTGCCCTTTTTTTTAGCTACTCCCATCAATCAGTAAACTGACCAGCTTCTTTGTCCATGCCTATCCAATGATTCTGCCACCACCAAGTGTGACAATGAGTAAGGTGAAGTGAAAGTGATATGCTGTATTAGTTTTCCTCCACACAAAACATCTTGCCTGAGATTTAATTCTTTTTAGGATCCCCATCTGCGCTGAAGAAAAACATTGGCACAGCATGATGCAGCCAGCACCATAAGATTAAAGGGAGCTGAATCCTAAAACATGCCACACATTTCCTTTTTTTTTTTTCAATTAAAGTGAAATTTATATTTTCATTCCTCTGTAAAATGATGCACTATTTAGCTTATTACATTTTGGTTGTGCTGTGGAAAAACTTTAATGGGGCGAAAGCCTTTCAAGATGTAGCAACTTTTCCATGGTGTCTGAGAGCAGCCTTGTAGTTTTTTTTTTGTTTTTTTTTTGAAGGTTGAAGTCTTTTTTATTTTATTTTTTTTATACACAGAATTTTTATATTTGGAAAAAGAAATAAATGCCCCACCGTCTCACCGTCACCTCTAAGGAAAAAAAGCTCAGGCAGGGCTTTAGGCTTGCAGCAGCATTAAATTTTCACTGTGCAGCTGTATAGCTGCTGTTGCCCCCGCCAGACATACCAACTGCACACTGGGAAGGTATTAGTTTGTGCTTTTTATTAATTCATTCCACTGAACAGAACTTGCAATGTAGCAAACCAGCATCTTCTTAACATTTCCTTTCACCACTTTCTCTTTGACACATTTGAACCCAGTTGGTGTTTTTTTTTTTTTTTTTTTTTTGTTCAGAGCACCAAAGGGTGTTTAATTATAGACTAGAAGGCCACCAGGGTCTGCTTTTAATTGTGTGCATCTCCGTGTGTTGTGTGTGACTGTTTGCCTGCAGCTCTGTAGGTCGCAGGCATACTCCAAACGAGAACTCCTACAGGCTAAGCTTGAAGACGCTCCCCCTCAGTACATCCACAGTGCCCAGAGAGCTGGAGTTTGATTAATATTTTCTTAATTATAACTATTTAATTCAGCAAAGCCACAGCTTCTCCAGCGAAACTGTGGCCTTTGTCTCTGAGTTGCAGAATATCCTGGCTCATTAAGGACACGGAGAGATCCTGTATATGGTAAATAAGAGGCTGCGTCTCATGCTGCTGCCCCAGGGAGAGCTGGCACCACACTGAAGGACATCTCCTTGTGAAGAACAGTGCAGGGCTGATGTTTCCCAGCTCAGACTGCGGAGCCGGATCCTCTGCCTCTGGCATCGTCAGGCCCGCTTCCTTTCATGAGGCACAAACAGAGACAACAGCGCAGGCAGATGAGCACTGTGCACTCATCACGCCATCAGGCTGTCTCCTTTGTACAGTAGACTGGTGATTGAAATGACTTGAGAGAGCAGAATAAGGCCTGTCTCCTCTTGGGTTTTGGCTGCAGTCAGTCCATCTACAGACAAAAAAAGACTTATGGAGAAGTTTATAAAAGCTTTTTTGTGTACAACCAACCTCTTTGAAGAGTTAGGCTTCTGTCTTGTTGAGATGCCTGGAGGATTCTCAATAAGGTGAAACATGGTGTGTGTACTGCTGTAACTTTGGCTGTTTAACTCAAAAGTGCTGTTTGCACCTGAAAAAAAAACAAGCTTTGGTTTTAATTAAGCTTTAAATCAATAGTGATCTTTTCTTGTCACAAACTGTTTTATTAAAAAACCTGCCTGGAGACATAACTGGGCTTTCATATTCTCTGGTTTATCACATCAGCGATGTTTGATGCTCAGAGCTGGACAGGATGCTGAGTTTTCTTTTCGCCCTAAGCTTTTTCTTTATTGCTTTGTCCTGAAAGAAGCAGAATAGCCTGTGGCTTGTTAACCTTGAAGGGTCACATTGGGATTTTGGAAGTGGGGGTTCTGTTGAAGGTTATAAGCAGTTAATATATTATCTGTAAGTATTCTTCATATATTTATTAAGTGTAAATGCAAGTTAGTTGGTAACAGAAACTGAAACTGGGTATATCGAATGGGGAAAATATGAAACATTTTTTGCAAATTTTTTTTCTATCACACAAACCATTGATTGCTGAAACTGGCATTTAGGAGGGCAAGAGTTCAGAAAAATGCATTATTTGTTTTGTGTATTTGCTATGTTTGTTAGGGATGAACGTAATCTGATGGAAATCTTTAAAAGTGTATTTTTGGGTAAGTTGGTGGAAATTATCTTTGGTCATTACCCTAACTTATCTTATTTTTTACTAAAAGTAAAGATGCCAAGACAATCATCTGTTTCAGATGATAGGGATGAGGTACATAGAGATGTATTTTTATCATCGCAAATCTCTTTACTCTAACTCAGCCCACTGATTCATCCCTCAACCCTTGTACCTGTTGTGCCACTCATTCAGATATCTGTGATCCCCTCAGTTTGACCAACTCTTAAAAGCATTCAGGTCCTCTATTTTTTATTTTTTATGTAAACCTCTCATGGATGTTATTTTATAGTGTCCAGTCAGATTCTTGAAAGCAGGTTCTTTGGCTGCAAGCCATGTGCACTCACTGATGATGATTTTCTGTGAAGTGGTTTGTAATGGACTGGCCTCGATCGACACTGAAGACGATACGTCTTCAGTGTTTGTTTGAACACGGCAGCCGATTCGTTTGGGTGTTTGTACTTCGCTGCATCCTAATAACACAGCAAGAACTGCAAGCTGAGGGGGAGGTGGATGGTGTTTATCAGTGTGGCACATTAATGTTTATTTACTCCATGGTTAATAAGATGTGTGCTCCGCAGCAAGGTGCAGCAGAATGATGGTGGATGATTAAACTGCTTTGCTTTAGACTCATCTATTATCCATACTCAAGCCTGCATACATAATGTAATAATGTAAAATAAGGCCAATTCCAGCCGTCGATGATGTGGCCAGTCTGAGGTGTTCGGTGTAAATCAACACAGGGTGTCAGAGCTGGCAGAATGTATAGAAATCACTGTGATAAATTTGGGAAAATTGTCAAAAATGTGCGTTCAGGGATGTGTGAGCTATGACTCTTTACATAGCACTGTTTTAAAAGAGCACAAACAAAGTGACGAGACTAATTTGTGGTCCAGTGTTTGGCTTTCAACTCCTAACTTGCTGGAGGTTTGGAATCGACTGAGAAGGGAGCGAATAGGGGCTCCCTAATCCATATTGTCATGACGCTTAATCCCATCCACTTCAGGCACGGCCCGTCTTCGATATTCTCGTCAGGCCGGCCAC